GAAAGAAAAAAAAAAAAAAAAAAAAAAAAAAAAAAAAAAAAAAAAAAAAATCTGTACAGCAGAGGACATCCGGGCCGATGTCCCTAGGGATGTCCGGGCGGAAGACCCCATGGACATCCGGGCGGTCTTCCCTGAGGCAAAAAAATCACAAAAAACGTTGCTGATGCACAGAGCTCTCGGTAGAGATTTTGAAAATTGATTCCAAACACTCAACCAAACATCATATGAAACACACCTGTAGAATTACATTTTCAATTCACAACCAAACAAAGCCCAAGTTGTCCCCAAAGTAATGGGCAAGCAGAAGCATCCAACAAAGTAATTTTGGATGGAATAAAGAAGAGGCTGCAGGCAGTAAAAGGAAAGTGGGTAAACGAGTTGCACAATGTGCTTTGGGCATATCGGACTACGCCGAGAAGATCAACAGGGGAATCCCCCTTTGCCATGGCTTATGGCACAGAAGCTGTCATTCCATTGGAGATCGGCATCCCAGGGATCAGGACCCAGGGAGTAAAGAATGGCACCAACGACATACTCTTAGCCCGAGATCTGGATCTTTTGAAAGAACGAAGAGAAAAAGCTGTAATTCAGCTAGCAGTATACCGGCAACAGCTTGCTAGAGCTTACAACAAGAAGGTCAATCCAAGAGATTTTCAAGTCGGCGACATAGTCCTAAGAAAAGTCGTCGGCAACAAGAAAGAACCCAGAGAAGGCAAGCTTGGCCCAAACTGGGAAGGACCCTACAGAATTACTTCGGTATTAGGCAATGAAGCTTATCGGCATGAAGATAACGAGGGCAAAGCACTGCCAAGACCTTGGAACACTTGTAATTTAAAAGTCTTCTATTATTAGATGTGTAGTATTTTTGGCCGATGTCATCAATAAAATCTTTTCCCTTTTCTTTAAAACACATATGATGAATAAAGTTACATATTGGTGTTTTTGGAGACATGAATAATGAGAACCCAAGTAGAACTCAGGTTCACATTGGGGGCAGAGAGAAGACAGAGACACTTAATTCACTTGTTGAAATTTGTAGCAAT